AAAGAAAGAAATAAAATTGTTAAGTTGGATATTAGTAACCAAGAACTAAAAGGAGCAATAAGATTGAAAGGGTTTAATAATTTGGAGGAGTTAAATTGTTCCGAAAATGAACTTACTAATCTATATTTAAATGATTGCCCAAAGCTAAGAAAATTAGATTGTTCTTCTAATAATTTAAATTCGAATAACTTTTCAGAAAGCAACTTATCTTCTTTCAAAAATTTTACTAAATTGGAAGAATTAAAATTAGGAAATGATAACAAAGAAAAAATAAACCAGGGGATTTATAATCGTTTTTCCGGTTCGCTCAAACCTCTGAAAAACTTAACTAAGTTAAAAGTACTTCATATAGACAATACTGACCTAAACAGCGGAGCAGAACATTTACCCGCTAGTCTTATCGGCATAGACAATGGAAAAAAAGAAAAAATTTCCTATTTTACTGAACAAAGACCAGAAAGCAAGGTAAAAGAAATTAAACTACAATTAGATTTATTGACTAGCGAAAAATTTGATAATAGGAAAATAAAAATAGAAGATCTAAAATACTGAACAAAGGTTTGTTCCAATAAAGAGGAGTTTGAAGCATGAATAGATGCTGGAGTGTATGATTATTATTCTGTTTACTCTTTAAAAAACGAAAAAAAACTTACTCCTAATAAACTTAAGGAGCCGAAAGAACAAAAACAGACTTTGGAAACAGAAGAAAAGAAAAATACGGGCTTATTTAACCCATCTGATTGAAAAAATCTTGCTAAAACAGCAGAGGAAAAAGCAAAGGAAATAGCAGATACAGCAATTGTAGATGCAAAGGAAAAATTTGAGGAAATAAAGGAAAAAGTAGGTACAGCAATTGTAGATGCAAAAAAAATAGCGGAAGAAATTACAGAAGAAACTACACGATTAACAAAAAATGCTGCTGAGTTTGTGTCTGATCTTAGAAAAGAAATTAGTTTTAGTGAAACTAAAAGGTTTTTTAACTTCCTGAAAGAAATCAAAAAAGAAGATACAAAAGAATTTTTAAAAAGGCAATTAAAGTTAGAAGAGTGATCAGGAAAAAAAGGTTGATATAAAGAAAGTGGGCAAAAAAATGTAGAGTTGAGATATAGAATGAATGAAATTCAAACTAAACCAGAAGCTTATCTTTATTTATCCCATCTATTAAGTCCGCTTCATGGCGAAAAAACTTACATTGAAATTAAAGCCAGCAAGTCTGAAAAAGAAGAAGCCAAAATTAAAAGCATTGGTCTAACTACAGAGGAAAAATTATTTATCGAGTATAAAGATGATGCCAACTTGATTATTGATAAAACAGAGGCAGATAAATTTCTGGAGAAAATAGAAAGGGAAAAAAGAGAATTATTAGAAGAAAAAAAAGAATACAAAGAGAAAAAATGTTCGGTTGAGGAAAATATTGTAAATGAGTTTTTATCACAAAAAGACCAAGAACTAAATATTGTTAACAAGGAAAATTGACTCGAACTTCAAAAAAATTCTAGTGAAAGAAAAATTATTCATGGAATAAAAGGAGAAAGTAATAACTCGACAAGTAAATTTTTCAAGTTGAAAACCAAGTATGAAAACGAGAAAGAACTTAGTGAGGATGCTAGTAAGATAATACTAGAAACTTTATTGGAAAGTAAGTTAGATCATAAATGAGCTTTTAATGAGGAGTTAGTGAGTGCCTGGGAAGATCAAAGTGCCAGTATTGTTTGGTTTTTTTTAAGGAACAAAGAAAAGTCTATTAAATGAGGTAAAGAAATAACTGCTTCTGTCCACAAAATATTAGAAAAAAGTGATGTTTTGTGATTAACTACTAATGGTCGAAGCGTATTAAGTCAACTCCTTATTGGGTGAGATAGATTCATTTTAGGTGACGTTGGAACTCCTCTTCCCTCCAATAATATTAGGACTCTTTTCAGAGTTTTGGTATCTGAACCAAAAGTCAAGCAAGCTTGAAAGCAAGAACTAGAAAGAGTTATTGAAGAACTTAAAGAAAAAAGTGCAGAATTAAGCATTAGTAGAGGGTTTATTGTTAAGCAGTTTGAAGATGAAGTTCTTGAAAAAGAAGTAGAAAGCCCAAAGGAAGAAAAAAAATCCGGAAAACTAGTCGAACAGATAGAAAAAGAAAGCCATTCTAATCAAGAAAGCATTTCTTTTGGAGGGCAAGGAGAAAAATTTTTCAAAAACATTAAACATTATGGTCGGTCAAGTGCTGAACTTTATATGATGTATGCTTGGACGCTGGAAAATGAATTACCTAATTATATAAAAAAAGTGAAAGAAGAAATGGGAAGTGGATTTATTAATTTTAACCGGAAGTTTGAGGAGTTAAACAAAAAAAAGAGTGAAAAGAAAAACAAAGAGTTAAAAAATAAGATAAAAAACTTAGAGGAACAATTAGAAAATTTAAAAAATGAGGAAAAAAAAGAAGAAAAGGAAATGCTAGAAAAAGAAATTGAATCACACAAATTACAAATTGAGTTAAATGAAAGAGTTAAAGGATTTGGGGATTTTGTAGTGAAAAAACTTCTTGAGCAAGTAGGCTCTCTAGATAATCCTGAAAGTAAGAAAACAAACAGATTTTACTTTCAACCTGATCAGGTATGAAGAGAAATAGAAGTGGTTAAAGAGAAAGTTCAAAGAAAAACTTTGAATATAGCACCGGCTATGCCATTAGGCTTAGGTTTACATAATGAAAAATTAGAGGAGACAACGGAAGGGATAAGTTATAAAAATAAAAGGATGGCATATGAGAAAGAAGGATTTTCTTTAGATAGCAATTGATCAGAGCCAGAATCAGAAACTCTCCCTCTTAGGCTTTATAACATCCAAAAAGGTAGTATAGAAAAAACTAAAGGAAATCCAGACATAAAAAAATATGCAATTGTTTCTTATGTTTGAGGTGCTGGTAATTTATCAGAGAAAGATAAGGAAAAAATAGATAAAATATGAGAAAACTTGGCATATAAAAACGAATTAAATTCCTCTGGATATAGAGCCTTGAATAAAGCCATCGAAGTTTGCAAAAAGTTTGACATTAATTACCTCTGAATGGATCAGTTGTGTGTTAATCAAAATGATGCTAAGGAAAAATCACAAGAGGTTCCTAAAATGAGAAATTATTATAGTAGCAGTTTTGCAACTTTGGCATCAATAGACGGAAATCTAAAAAAAGATCGTGAATCTCTACCGCCTTTACCGGATGCACTAGCAATGATAGTTGGGTCAAAATGATTCACTCGAACTTGAATTTTCCAAGAAGGCTGATTAAGCAAACAAATAGTGTATATGTTTGATGATGAACTAGTTGATGGTAGAGCTATAGCACAAACGTGAGTACTTAACCAACCAGTGTACACTAAATATGCTAGGTATAATAGTTTTGAAGAAGCTGAACAAGCTGCTAAAAAAATCGCTACTCCTTTGGGCTGAGTATATTACAAAAAGGGATATGAACCAGAAGATAAAATAAACTTCAGTCTTGGTCAAGTACTCAAAGAGATAAAAAATCGTGAACGAGGCAATCCTATAGATGGCATATATTCGACATTGGGATTATTACCTTACGGGGAAAGTGTAGAAGTTGATTACAAGCAAAATATATGTAAGGAATGCAAAGAAAAAGAAAATAATGAGGAAAGAAAGGTGAATTGTAAGCATCCAGAAGAGCAAAGGACAGAATTCCCTGGTTATTTTAAAGAGGAAATAGAAGAGAGATTGTTGCATGTCATGAAAAAAGCCCTTGAAAGCGGCTATGGGGATATCTTTAGTTGGCATGGCTCAGGAAATAGTTTAGTTCCAACAACATTAGATGAAAAAAAGGGTTCGACAACTTCCCAAGGGGGTTTAATTGTTGTATGTAAGTGTAAAGAGTCAGGAAACCCTCACCAGTGCCAATTTGTAAAGGTTAACGAAAATAGTATTGAGATAAAGGGTTCGAAGTACAAGGTAAGTGAAATTGAAAGTCA